TCTCTTCTTTGCTCGGCAGGCTCTGCTCTGCAGTGGTTGCAAACAGTAAGCTCTGCTCTGGGAATCCGCACTGAATAACCCTCGATCGCCATGGCGGACTCTAGCCCGCCTCCCACCCACACAGATCATGTATTACCTCCGATTGTTAACAACATCAGTCGTGGCCTTACGGGCCTTGACTTCCTCCGATCTGTGAGCGCTATTGTTAACATGGCCCGCACTCGTCTCCCTGGTGCGATTTCCACGCAGCACGCTATTAGAGAGGCCCTTCGTCCCACGGTACCACCGTCTGCCTCAACTCTTGCTCAGACTGATTCTCAGCCTGATCCATCAGCCAGGGCTGCGCCGACTTCTGAAACGCGGCTCTACTCTACCGCTGAGACGGGGCAGGATGGCGAGGCGTCGCCTCCTCCCGCGTCTACGTCACGACCAACACCAGCAAGGCGGATGGGCGTGAGATTAGGGCTGAGACACGGCACAATGCGCTTTCGGCAAGTGCAGATTACCTTCCATCGTGCTCGCGCTGGACCTTCAGCGTCAACCACGACACCGTCCCCAAGCACAGGCCCCTCCAATCCTACCACCTCCAATTCATCCATTCCGCTTGTCGACGAGGCAGAGCTGAAGTATCAGGACGCCCTGTACCGATACACGAAAGAGTGGTCGGGTGATTTCCCGTGGCTTGTTTTGTGTCAGCAACCTGACGGATTTCCCTCTGTGAAATGCACTGTATGTGTGGCTCAGGGTGTGACAGAAACAAAATTCGGACGCGCAAGGCATGGTGCATTTGACATTCAGACCCAAGCGTTCCGAGCATACCAGAGAACGAGGAAGCACAAACGTGCTTCGAAGGAGCAGGAAATCGCGAAGAGGAAGGCAAAGGGACAGACATTGCTGGACAGCTGCCCCATGGTGTACGACATCGAGAAGGAGCGTGTGATCGCTCTGGCCGTGACCCTACTCTTCATATGCCAACAGAACGCACCGATCGAGATGTGGGTCGACTTGGTGAAGCATCTAGCCGAACGCTGTACTCCTGGTTTCCCAAAGAAAGGCTACAGTGCCTACTACACCACATAGTTCTTGTCCTAATGTCACGCTTTTGCCGTTTAAGTTTTCCACTGCTTTCTAACCAGCACGACGTGGTGTGCGTTGTTCCAGGTATGGCTTCTAGGAGCTCACAACTGCCACCGCTACATACCTCCGTGCGCGCCAGCGAGAACACATCGACAAGTCCCCTTTCCTCGGAATCACTTGTGATGAGAGCACGGATCGTGTGCGCGGCAAGCACATGATAGTGTTCATCACTTTTATGCGAGAGCGTGCGGTCGTTACTGAGTTCCTGTCGTTGCTCACCATTGACAAGTGTGATGCTGCTTCTCTCCTCTCCGTGCTCCTCTCACACTTAGAGACCATTGGCCTCGACCTGAACAAGATATCAGGTATTGCGACGGACGGCGCACCGGTCATGTTGGGATCGTCCGGCGGTTTGGTCGCGCTTCTTCGACAGCACCTGCCTCATCTTGTTGGCACCCACTGTGTCGCTCATCGGTGAATGATTGTCTTTTCCTGCCTCAAGGCATCGGGATTTATGAAACTGATATCCTTGTTGGTTTCCTCTGTCCGTGGCAGGGAAGCTCTCGCAGCCAAGGATGCTGCGTTGGTGGAGCCAGATGTTGGCTTGATTGACGTCATAATCCGTGCGGTGTGTGGCATACTCGGGAAATCACACCCACGGCACGGTGTCTTCATGCGTCTCCAGGAGACATCTTGCACACGAACCTGGAGATGCAGGGCATTCACGATGTCCGCTGGCTGAGTCAAGGCCAGGCAGTGGAGCGACTTTGCGAAGTCCTACCCGCGGTGATTGTGCTTCTCCAGGAGTACGACACTGCCATCTACCACATCGTAACCTCGCTGAAGTTCCATGTGTACCTTTTCTTCCTCGCAGATGTCCTAGCAGAGCTCAACAACCTCAACCTTGTATTTCAGTGACGTGAGGTGAGTGGTCCAGTGGTGCTGGTCCTGATTCCCGTGCCCTCTTTAACAAACTAATCGCTATCTCCTCTTTGCTGTATTTTGCGTGCCTCGTCCACCTGCAGGTTGACCTCACTGGCGTGCAGTCCCTGGTCCGCCGCACACTCATCTTCATGCAAGAGCGCTACATCGACTGTGGGTCAAAGTTTGGCGCGGGGACAAGCAAGCGCCTGTCGCCCTTCCTCAAGCGTCTCTCGTCTAGCCGCACCGTCAAGGTGGAAGGCGTTGACAGTGACGGAAGCACGCAGAAACATAGCTTTGACTTGCACGAGGAGCTGCTGAAAGGGTACAGCAAAACGCGAGGCGACCTGGAGACTTGCATCAACACCTGCCGCTCCTATGCGGTTGCGGTAGTGGACCACCTGCAGGAGAGGTTCAAAGACCTCGATAGTTTGGACGGCGCAAAGCTCTTCATGCCGGACAGCTGGCCGAAGGACACGGACGGACGGAACAAGGAGTGTGCGGCCCACCTGGAAGCCCTATTCAAGATGTTCCACATCGGCGAGCGGAGGGAGGTGCTTCCTGGTGAGTGATGCTTTCGGCAAGCGCATCACCTGCGCATGTTATTGTCAACTGACTGGCGTGTCTCCTGCATGTGATCTTGGGTGCAGGTGTGGACAAGCGCATGGCGAAGAAGGAGCTCAGGACTCTGGTGCCTGTTCTCCAAGGAGCTCCTCGTTGAGAGCGCAGCTTCCACGATGGTCTGGCGGCAATGCTCAAGACCAGCGACTGAGAGAGGAGCTACCCGAACCTCGTGAAGATGTGGGTAGCAGTGGCGGTCCTGCCGCTGAGTACGGTGGAGTGTGGAAGGGGATTCAGCAGGCAGATCAGCATCAAAACCTGGCACAGGACGAGCCTCTGCAATGGAAAGCTCGGCGATCTCGTGTGCCTGAGCATGCTGCGATACGACATGGATTGCGATGAGGTAGTGAAGATATGGAGGAGTAGCAAAAAGCGCCGACCCACCCACAAGAAAGATCACCAGCAGCACAAGCAGCTGCTGCAGCAGCAGCAGCAGCAGCAGCACCAGCAGGCCAAGGGTTGGGAGAAGGTGCCCGACAACCACGATTCAGACGATGAGAGCAGCAGCAGCAATAGCAACAGCAGCAGCTCTAGCTCGGATGGGGAAAACTACTAATCTGGTTCTATTCAAGTTTAGTAGTAGTTTAGGGGGTGTATAATGGAAGTAGTAGTAATCTACCAGAGGATGTGTTTCCATTTCAAACACTGAATACATCATGCAACAAAAAGTGCCCTGAGGTTTCAGGGTTTAGTTCTTGCATGCCCTGAGAAATCAGGGTCCCCCTAGGGGCTCTGCCCTGAGGAGGACACGCATTTTTGAGCCATGCCCTGGGGGCCCAGGTCCCTAAAACTGAATCTGAGGCCCTGTCGTCGAGCCAAACGTCAAAGCTAATCGGGCGACCCTCCGCATCAAAGCTAAGAACCGAGATGGTGGCCATAGTAGCAGGAGCAGCAGCAGCAGCAGCAGCAGCAGTGGTGCCAGCAATAGCAGTAACAACAGCAGTAGCAGCAGCAGCAGCAGCAGCAGCAGTAGCAGCAGCAGCAGCAGCAGCAGCAGCAGCAGCAGCAGCAGCAGCAGCAGCAGCAGCAGCAGCAGCAGCAGCAGCAGCAGCAGCAGCAGCAGCAGCAGCAGCAGCAGCAGCAGCAGTAGCAGTAGGGCTGTGCGGCTCGGTAGGGGCAGGGCAGTGCGGCTCGGGCAGGGCGGCGCGGCTCGGGCAGGGCGGCGCGGCGTGGCGCGGCTCGGCAGGGCACGGCGCAGCAGCGCGTGCGGCAGCAGAAGCTCAGGCGCAGCAGCGCGGTTGGCAGCAGCTGCGCAGCAGCAGCAGCGTTTGCAGCAGCAGAGCAGCGCGTGCGGTAGGGGCGCTCGCGGGCAGGCAGCACGCGCGCAGGCAGGGGGCTCGCACGTTTAGCAGTGCGGGCAGGCAGCAGGTGCGCGGGCAGGCGGCGCTCGCATGCTGGTGGCGATGGCGGGCACGCAGCTTGTGCGCGGGCAAGCAGCTCGCGTGCAACAGACAGCGCGTGTGCAGGCAGGTAGCGCGCGTGCAGCAGGCAGCGCGCTAAGACAGGCAATGTGCGTGGCAGCAGGGCAGTGCGCTAGGGCAGGCAGCGCGCGTGGCAGCAGGACAGCGCAGCACTGTTCAGGCAGGGCAGGGAAGCGCGAGGGCGCTTCGGGCAGGGTCGAGCGGATCGATTTGGTGGGCGCTAAAAAAATTATAACCGTGTTCCTGCTCTGAAACCATGTCGAGAGAACTATGCAGGAATGATGAATGACTAGCAACAGGGAAATACAAATATGAAACCCTAACTGGGGTTGTACTCTTTACCGAGCACCTCATTGTAGCCTAGCAAAGCTAAGAACATAAAAATATGTTTTGACACTAATTGTACCGGTACTATACATAAGGTGATCACACTGGTTTGTGCTTGCATTGTGTTGTGGCCCTACGTTAGTTTGAAAAATAAGCTTCCATATCTTGAAGGCACTTTAACGAAACAAGAACCAATGTAGAGAGCACAGGCAGAGAAACCTCCTCCCCCCCCCCCCCCCCCCCCCCCCGCCCCATTGATTGGGAAATGGAAGCTACTCAGGGAGTGGCAGCGGCAGCATCCAGGAAATTCCTCTTCCCCCCTCCACCTACTCCCTCCGTATCTACCAGTAGCTGTGCCCGCCCCGCTCACCCTGCTGCTTGTGCAGCTCGAGCACCATCACCACCATCCCGATCATCCACCCTTTCTCCCTCCTTGGCTGGATCGTCGTGCTTCGCCTTCTCCTACACCACCCCTCCTCCACACCGCCTACTCCTGTGCACCACCAACACCATCTACCGCCTGTCCCTGCCCGAGTCACCACCACCCCCGCACACTTCTAGACGACATATGACCAGCCAAACACACTACCACAACGAACACAGCTGTCAGAAGTCTCAAACCAAGACAGACCACTACTCCTGAGCGGCACCTGCACCACCATCTGCCGCCTCTCCCCCCCTCCCCTCGCCCCCCTTGGCCGGGGCGTCCTGCTTGGCCTTCTTCCTGGTGGCAGCGGCCTCCCTGCGCTCCCGCTTGAGCCCCTTCATCTTCATGAGCGACATCGACCCCACCTCCTGTTTCGGCATGTAGATGCGCCCCACCTTGCCCTTGATTATGTCTGACTTCACGTTCTTGATCTGCACGGGAGGGGGCGGAGGGTGTGAGGAGAGTGGGGGGGGGGAGGAGAATAACGGGCGGCACAGAAAGGAAGGGGGTGTGGTGGTGTTGAGAGGCATTCACCCCACCTCCTGCTTCCCCAGGAACCATCGCCACTACTTCCTGCTTTGGCATGTAGATGCACATGCGCCCCACCTTGCCCTTTATCATATGCGACCTAGCAGCGTGAAGACCTTTTTGAGTCGATTAAAAAATGTGAAATCTGCACTCATGATCAAATGTACATGCGCCCCATCCATCCATCCATCCATCCATCCCCCACGTCCATATGCCCCCACACAGGGTAAACAAAAAAAGACCGGTTTTTTTTGTTGTATGTTTTTTTTACCGTAAAACATGGCAGTTTAAAACGGTTCAAAACGGTTTCAGGAGGTGTTAACTTACAAAACGGCTACTTTATGGGACCAAATTGAACCTGAAATTTAGCAAGATATAGTGGACGGACCCCTTCTTGCATGTGTGCGGTTGTTGGCATGATTAAAAATGTATTTGACCTTGTTTTCCCTTTTTTTCTTGTGAACAGAGTTCTTAACAAAATTATTGCTTAAAAAAAAAAAAACACCGTAAAAAGCGGCCTTATTTTACGAAAACCGTATTTTTTTACCTTGCCACGCACCCATGCCCATTCCAATGTTCCCCCGTTCGCACTTCCCTCCAACCACTCCCCTTCCCCCAGCCTCCTCACCTTCTTCTCCTGCCCAAGCTTCACTGCCCGCATCGCCTCCTTCCTCAGCTCCTCGCCAGGCAATCTCGTCCGTCGGATCTCAAAATCAATGGACGGTCCAATGGGCACGAGCACCACGCGAGGCACCTTAGTGCCTGAGCGCTTTAAACGGATGGCACAGTGGCGAAATAGGACCTGCGTGGAGAGGGGGCGTGAGGGGTGGAAACAGGGGTGGGGGAAAGGCGAAAGCAAAGGGGGAGCGTGAGGGGTGGAAGAAATGGGGAGAAGGGGCAAGAAATGGGGAGGAATAGACTAGTGGTGGTGACACCAGCTAGCACCACCCGCCGCTTGAGGCGGATGGCACAATTGAGAAACAACACCCTGGAGAGAGGGGAGAGGGGGGAGGAGGGAGTGGGGAGAAAGGGGAAGAGGGGTTGGAAGAGCAGTTAAGGGAAGCGAGGGAGGGTGAGGAAAGGTGGGGGACCAGCAGAGATTGGGGAAATGACAAGGTGGTGGGAAAAGAAGGAAAGGCTAGTGCTGGAATGGAACCCAGCAGCAGCACTGGCAGGTGGTACTTGAGAATACAGCAAGCGACACCTTACCTTGGTGCCATTGTCTGATCGCTTGAGGCAGATGCGGATCTCATCCCCATGCCGCAATTTCAAACAATTGCAGAACACCTCGTTACTGACCTTGCCGTTTTGAGCGGCGCACACAAAGACTCTGTCGAGGCCTGCCAGGTCGACTGTTGCTGCCACCTGACAAGGCAGCGGAAAGAGGGGGAGGGATGGCACATGCATGTAACAGAATGGGTGACAGGGGAACAGGGACATGGAATCGGAATGATGTTTGGGGCGCCTGAAAGTTTAAAAGATTTTAAGCACTTCAAGAGGTGCGAACAACTGTGAAGGAAGTTATGAGATGTCTCAAAATAGGCAGACAGGCAGACAGCCAAGCAGCCAGACTGCCAAGCAGCCAGACTGCCAAGCAGCCGGACCCACCCACCTCCCCTCGGAAAAAGTCCAGCAAGAGGCTCTTGAGCTGCACTGCTGCTGGGTCATTGTCGAACTCGGTTCCAATGAAACAAAAGCACGGCTTTGAGCCCACCTGGGGTGAGGGAGAACGGGAGGAAGGGTGGAAGGCAAAAAGCGGAGGGGAGGGGGGAAGGGGGTGAATGGGGAAAAGGGGGAAGTGGGGAAAGGGGGAACAGGGGAAACGGGACGGAGGGAAGGGGGGGAAAGAGGGGAAGAGGGGAAAGGAGGGATAGGGGGGAAAGGGGGGAAAAGGGGGAAAGAGGGGAAAGGAGGGAAAAAGGAGGAAAGGGGGGAAAAGGGGGGAAAGGGGGGAACGAAGTAAGGGGGGAATGGGGAATTGGAAAGGGTGAATGGGGGAAAAGGGGGAAGGGGGGAAGGGGGGAAGGGGGGAAAGGGGGAAATGGGGGAAGGGGAGGAAAGGCTGTTGGGGGGAAGGGGGGAAGGGGGAAAGGGAGGAAAGGGGGAGAAGGGGAAGGGGGGAAGCTGAGGGAATGTAAACGAGGGAAAGGAATCGTTTCAGCAAGCTCCTTCTCCTCAACTATTGAAGCGCTTCAAGCATCAACCCTTTACTCCCTAATCCCTCCCCTTCCCCTCTCCCCATTTCCATACTCACCCCCCTTTCTTTGAAACCCACCTGCGGGGAAAGCTTCCCGCCTCCTTTGAGCTGTTGGATGCTGACGTGGCGCGTGACCCCCACCTCGAGCATGTCGTACAGGTGGTAGTCGTACATTCGCCCGATCACCAGATTGTGGGGGCGCTTCTTGGAATGGGAGGCGAACTGAGACAGGATCGGCACGAGGGAGAGGGGGGGAGGAAGAGGGGGGAGGGAGGGAGAGGGACGGAGGGAGGGAGTGAATGGGAAGTAATAGAGGGAAGATGGTGTTGGGGCACGTTACCCGCACCTCTCGGTTCAGACCATCGGCCATTACTATTAACAACCTTATGAAAACCAGAAAAGCCCTACACCGCAATTCTTGAGTGTCACAACGAACAGGCTGCTGTCTGTTTTCTTCGCCCTTGCCGCTTGGTTGACGCAAAAGTCACTTTGGCTTAAACCCTCAAATTTCACCATCCCTCTAAGATTCCAAACCCTGCCTTAAACCCTCAACCCTGACCTCTCACCCCGCACCATGAACAAGCTGCTGTCTGTTTTCTTCGCCAGCTGCTCTAACGGCGCCTCGCCGCCCGCCTCGAAGGGCCGCACGTGCTCGTTAGCGCGCGAGAGCTTCAACGAGCCCCCGCTGAACCGCTTCAGATGATGCACGTCTGACATTACACCGTTCAGGATCGCACTGGACCTAGTGCCGCGCAACAGCAATGCCTGCCGGACGTTCTCTTTCTGGTGAAGGGAGACGGGGGTTTGGGAGGGGTGGGGAGGGAAGGAAGGAAGGGGAGGGGGAAAGGGAGGGGGATGGGGAGGGAAGGGGGAAGGGAAGGAAGAGGGGGAACGAGAGAGAGAGAGAGAGAGAGAGAGAGAGAGAGAGAGAGAGAGAGAGAGAGAGAGAGAGAGAGAGAGAGAGAGAGAGAGCGGGACGGGGGGGAGAGGAGAGGGTTTATGTTGGGACGCACACGAATCGCACGTGCGGCTATTGCGTTAACTCGGGCAAAAAACGTATCGCCAAGATGGAAATCGAAGACCAAACAACATTGGGTCAAGGGAATATGAAATATGTACAGAGCGCACTATTTCAGACTCAATAATACTAAAAAACGGAACGATATTATTAAGTAGCGGCATTAAGGGGCGCCAATCCATGAGCGGCAGTTAAGAACGGAATTAGGAACCGCAACTTAAGGAACGTACTATCTTGGGCGCGCGAGAATCTAGAACGAGCTTCCCCTTCCTCGTCGTCGCCCTCGAAGCTTTAAACATGGCTGCTGCCTTGAGACGTCTCAAAACGAATCTTTAGATCACGTCGCTATTCCCCTGACCGTCAAATGCTCCTTTGGCCGTCGAATGTTTCCGCGGTTGTTGGAGCAGGTACGGCACGCTGCTGTGATTGCCTCAATTTCCTACTAGTCTGTCTCCCGTGGCTGTCGGTTAAGGTCGCTCTCGGATCAACTCGAAGGTACGGTGCGCTGCTGTGAGTGCCTCGCTGTGATTTACGTATACTGAAGCGGCAACCAACCAAGGAACTGCGATATCGAGCGTAAATGTCAGAAGAAAAAAACGGTGCTCGTTGAAATTAGGAGACAGCGATTCGGCAGGGGTAAAGTATGAGACGACGAGGTTTAGGAAGCAGGGTGAGGCGGATGTGTGGGTGCATGATCTTACAGCGCGTACTAAATGAAGGGCGATTTGCATTTGTTACACGGTTGATTGCGCAAAACGGCGAATCCGAATGTTGGTGAACATTCGTATTTTCGGAACTTCAAGATATTCACCAAAATTACAATCGGCGCTTGCAATCTCCTGCTTGGATTCTGTAGCGCGTATGACGATTTGAAATTTCGAACTGACTGAAACGTGGTGCTTGAATTGGTGATTGAAGAAGCAAGCAATTAACTCTTCACATCACCCCTTATTATCTTGACGCTCCTCGGTATCTATTGCTCCTCCATACTCTTCCTAGCCTCGCACTCAGTCCGAATCCGCTCGGTGCCGCTTGCGTCTCCATCCTGGTTCTTCATATCCAGCAAATCTCAGTGACTCAACTTGAGTTATCGCCTTTCTTCAGACCTGCTTACAGCACCGTAGACGCGTTTCCAGGCGTCTCAGTAACGCAAGCAATTTCCTGCTCAATTTACTTGGCCGTATAGCGCGTATTCTAGCGGCGCGCATAACGCGTATTGCACATAGCGCGTATATCGCAGTCGAGGCACCCGGTACATCGCAGTCATGAGCGCCGTGACCATCACGCAAGTGAAGGTGCTCGACAACCCCGGGCCGTTCCTCTCGCCGCTCCGCCTCGAGATCTCCTACGACTGCATCCGACCGTTGGAGGACGGTACGTGCGCCGCCAGGGTGCTGTGAATGGTGAATGGTACGGAAGCATGAACCTCGAAGTACGGAAGTCCGCATGTAGGCCCGTACCCGGACTTCCTTCATTACGAGCAGGTTCTGAGAACATCATGTTCGATCCGGTTAAGCGTTGCATTCGTCGAGCGTCGTTTTTGCCTCATTCCCATCGCATCCACCTTCCCACAGCTTGGCAGACTCTGAGTCGATCGGGTATGTGGGATCGGCCAACGACCTTGCGTACGACCACGTGCTAGAGAGCGTCATGGTCACCAACGTGGAACCACCTCGTGCTATCGCACTCAACCCCTTGCCACACCCCTGTCTCTTCAGATTTGGAGTGGTCGATCGTGTATGTGGGATCGGCCAACGACCCCGCCTATGATCAGGTGCTGGAGAGCGTTTTGGTTGGCCCAGTCAACGTCGGCAGCTTCCGGTTCATCCTCGAAGTAAGCCTCCTCGTTATATGCAGTATTTTTGCTTTTCACATAGCTGTTTGTCATTGGCTGCTAGCTCAGATCCATGATCATCGTTTCCTTGACTACAGGCATGCCCACTTGAAGTAGTTCTTTCGGCTCCTCAGTAATAGCCCCTGATGCATTGCTACCTCGCTTGGATATCCATAGCCTCCTTCCTCACGGGCATACCCTCCTGAAGTAATCTTTGGGCCACCTCAAACAGCCACCCATGCTGCTTTTATTGCTCCCAAACGTCCCTATCCACTGCGTGCTTATCTGCAGGCAGACCCACCCGAAGTGTCCAAAATTGCGGAGGGCGAAATTTTAGGAGTCACCGTTCTGCTGCTCACATGCGCGTACCGAGACCAGAAGTTTATCCAAGTCGGGTACTATGTCAATAACGAGTACGTAGACGAGCAGCTGCAGCAGGAACCCCCTCCCAAGGTCGTGTTCGATAAGCTATCGCGCAACATCTGGGCTGAAAAGCCCAGAGTGACCAAATTTGCCATCAACTGGGACCCTGTGGGAGGGTCGGGGTACGAGGGAGGCTCAGGGTGTGTAGGAGACGCGATGATGGAGGATGGAGATAGAGGGACCGGGTATGGTGGGGAAGGTGAGCATCGGAGCTTTGGTATTGGTTCGGAACCCGCCCCTTGGGTTCCGGCTGAATCAGTTGATGCCGCAGCAGTGGAAGCAAGAGATGAAGCAGTCACTGACGCAGCTGTTACCGAGGCAGTGGCTGGTTTAAGTGCCGGGGATGGAGCAGGAAATCTGGAAGTAGTGAGTGGTGCAGGGAGCACAAAAGCCACAGAGGGTGCAGAGGCTACAGAGGTAGCAGCAGCTGAGGCTGCAGCTGTGGGCCGGACTGAGATGGATGTAGCCTCGGAACCAGCATCTGGTGCAGGTTTGGAAAGTGGTTCAGGGGAAGGTGCACCTGCAGTTGATGTCACGGGTGGTGAAGGTCAAGACAAGGGCGTGTGCGCGTCGGATATGCAAGAAAGGGATGCAGAGGCTCTGTTTCAAGGCAGCTTGAGGGTGCAAGAGAGCTGCTGACTGTGTGAAGGGTGTAACATGAATGTATATTGTTCCCAGTACAAGGCCAACGCCAGCTCAATGCCGTATGTTTGCTGTTGAGTGTACCAGATTTCTATTGTTCACTAGTGTATTGAAAAACAGTTAATACATGATAGTTGGGAGGTGTTATGGTGTATCTGTCCATAAAGAATAGACAAGATGTAGGTACAGTTAAACCAGTTGTTACTAGGGTACGTTGGTTCGCTTTAGCAATTGCCTAACAGATGTAAGGACCTAGTATATTTTTTCAACACAGAACTAGCACAAACCCACAATGACTAAGTTGTGTAATACTTTACAGGCACTACAAGCAATCACTAGAACCTCCAACGGTACGAATCGCACCCCTCAGGCAGGCGAAGTAAGTTGGCCCTTCATCGTCGTGCAACTTGTCGCAGCCATGAGCATTCAAAATCACCAGCAGCTTCAGCTCTCCTAGATCTTCAGGGAGTGCCTCTAGCTGTTTACAATCCTCCAAATCCAGGATCTGCAGCCTGCTGAGCCGCGAGAAGTTGGAAGGAAGAGAAGTGATGGAGCCGTGGTGGACCCTTAGCTCACAGAGCCAGGACAGCTGAGTGAGGGAAGCAGGGAGGTGTGTGAGAGATTGGGAGTCGGACAGAATCAGCTTGCATAATCTGGTGAGTGTCATGAGTGAATCAGGAAGTGAGGAGAGCTTGGGAGCTCTGATCTCCATGTATGTGAGCTTCTGCAGGGCTGCGATAGTCGGTGGGATTTCGGTCAAATTCGGCAAGAGTATTGCTAGTTGACGCAACTCTTGCAATGACGAGCCGGAAAAATCAGGAAGCTTCATGACTCCAGTGCTTAAGATTGACAGGGTGCAGAGGTGAGGAATAGCCGTTAATGGAAACGGGAACTCCTCCTCCCAAGCCAGGTACAGCTTCAACTGCTCCAGAGAGGAAAGGCTGCTGGAGAGTGCAGCAGGGAAAATCACCATGTACAGGCTCAGTTTCTTCAAGCACGGAAGACTGTAGGCACCTGGCAGACGGGTGACATGATGTAAACTCGCCACGCTGAGAGCTTCTAGCGACCCGGGCAAGAACTCGGGAGCCTTTCTCAGCAACCCACAGCCGGTCAGCTCCAACTCCTTCAGCCTCGTCAGGTTCACAAAACTCCTAGGCACCGAGAAAAGGCTGCTGCAGTTGTCAACCTCGAGAATTTCGAGGCCCAGGAGGGCTGAAACGGAGTCTGGGAGCTTCTGGAGGTGCGAGCAGGCTTGGATGTAGAGCTCCCGCAGGCTTCTCAGCTCCCCCATCGCCTCTGGGAGCTCTGTCAACGCGCAATCCTGCAGCTCAAGCCTTGTCAGTGACGCTAGGTGGGTGAAAGAGGAGGGACGCAGATGATGCTGCTGGTACGACTTCAGGAAGAGAGTCTGCAGGTTGGTGAGCTCTCCAATGTCATCAGGAAGGATCACAGA